CACTTCCCCGCTCTCACGGACGTTTTTGTACGGATGCTGCCTGCGGCGATGGTGAGCCTGGTCAGTGGGTCAGCGATTCCATGCATTTGCTTTTCTCTCTCTCGTCACGTTTTCCCGCCACATGCGCCTCTTGCTTGTATCGAAGCCCCTCCCCCCCCCTCTTGAAACAGAGCTCGCGGTGCGGTAAAAGCTGACTTGATTTTGACTCTGCAACATCTGTAGGCCTACCCATCGCGTCTTTTTAGATCGGATTAGGGTGGGTTTCAGCTGGAAATTGGAAAGTGACTGCTGTTAAACACAACATCTCTCCTCTCATCCGCTTCCCTCGCCAACGATGCTGTAACAGATATTGGATTAGAAACATTAAGGCTGCATCCCTCATATCCTACAAAAGGATATTTTTCAATCTATGTTAGCGTGTATGCCAGACATGAAGCAATTTCAGCCACAACAACTGTAAAACCCAGGGCATTAAGAATATAGATTTCAAATCATATCCTGGTGCATGAGCCAGAGTGTGTGATACAGCATCAGAGATGCTGGAGGCACATACACAGAGTTCTAACAAGTTCCTGTGATATTGACCTACTTACACAAGCTTATGGAATATACTGCAAACACCAAGTAGTGCTCACCGTTTCGCTATTTTAAGTAGTACAACTCTTTATTGGCTTTTACATATAATACATATTAGTTATAAACGTTACAAGGGCAACACTATATGGTCACCTTAACTGTGGGTCTTCTCATGTCCTACATTCATAAGTTGATTGAGTGAAAGTAAAAGATAAAGGACAAGCCTGTGCTCACCTCTCACGTTTCTCTGCCTCCCACCAGTCCAAGTCAGATTAGGGTTTGCATGGGTAGGCTAAACTTTACATGAGCATAAATAGATACATGTGAAACACTTGTATTTAGAAGCTGATTGATACTAAAGGCTGCCAATACTAAGAATATAAAGCAGGGCTGATGACAACTACAGCTTTCTTTGACTTCTTTAACCATATGTGGCAATGATGCTATGATCACAATATAACCACATTTATGAAGGGAGTGTGATATGTTTATATATTAACCTTTTGACTATGGCACTTGACACATGGAGATTTTATAGTATTTGTCTATTAGCTACTACTCGCGGATTGTAAAAGGGATTGTTCATTGACAGTGTTTACAGCAGGGCAGATATCCAGGTCATTCATAAATACTACTTACATGTGATTCAGGTGGACCTGCAATGTGTTTGGTTGCAGTGGGGGTTGGGCTATGTCTGAATGTAAGCTCAGGAAGATTTGAGGCTCGGGTCTCCTGGTTCTGGCATGAGTCAACAAACCGCCAACACGTGCTGGGTGAGGGATTATCAAAACATAAGAGTTAAAACAAATACTTCCGCCAGCAACACACATACACACAGTGAGAGGTCTGCTGCACTTGTGCATGATTTAAAGGCTGAGTTAAACTAATGTATGATGGCACGATTTTGGATGCAAAGTATTCTATAGGCTATTTGAATATTATCCATATTTCATCATGGAAGAAGTTTTACATTGAAACCATATTTGTTTGTATTATTTGGAATATTACCCATTATATCATTTGTCATTAAACGTCACTCTGCTGGACTCTACTGTACACTGAGTTGTTAGTATATTAATACACCAGTCCAGTACAGCTGAGACTTTTTCACTGCAAAAACGTGACTCCCATTCTCCAATTGTTGGTGGTGCATGAACAGCAGTGGCTGAGATATGGTGCCACTTGACGCCCGGGGAGCTTCCCAGTCAGCTTGTGTTTGTAAACAACGATCTGACGTTTGGATTGTTGACGTGTATTTCAACACGAGACTGCGGATTTCAGTCAGAGCATTAACCGTGTCAGCAGTCCATGCATGTGAGGCGGCGGTCAGGTGTCGTGCAGTTAGCTGGCGCAGGGCACGGTGCCAGAAGCACGAGGCTATTATTGGAAAGGAGGAGGCAGCAGACCCTGCAGACACGTGAGGCCGCGTCTCAACTCATCCACAACGCATGACTACAAGACAGAGAGGGGGGTGGGGAAAGAACATTCCACATATACGGGTTCTTTATAAATAGCCTACTGCATGAGCATGACGCAGGAATTATTTACAAAAGGAGCCTTTCGTTGGTTCTCCTTCTAGAAGCCTGCATGCTTTGTTGCTGTGTTAACAGCAGTATTTTTAGCGCCTTACTGTATCCGCTTGAGCGCAACATTATGCATATTGAACTCAGGACAAAGACACGGCAAATTATCAGAGCTGTTCACTGCTGCCCAGAACTTGCGCAACTTCAAATAACGTTAAAAGTTATATAGTTGCTTATTTAAAAAAAGAAATAGGGAGAGCCAAAGTAAAAATGTGTGATGTTGATTAAGCCATCACTTTCATATGGCATATACAAAATAATAATAATAATAATTATTATAATATAATATAATAATATAATATAATATTAATAATAATATTTCCAATATCTGGATAATTACATTATGTGCTTTAAGTCTAGAGCTTGAAATGAAATTGTTGACCTGATCGCAAACTTTCAGCTCAGAGGTCTGAGGTTCTGTCCCTTGTCTGCAGGCGTCATCTTGTACGCAGGGTCCTCCGGCAGCTCCAGCCCCAGCCCTGGAAGCCCCTCCAGTGGGTACCAGACCCAGTCCCCTTCTCCACACTCCCAGCCATCATCTCCTGAGGAGGTGGTCTTCACAGAGATTGGGGTTGTTAAACAAAGGGCAGCTTCATGCAGAACCTTATCCTCCAAACTGGTATTCCAGTTTCCACAGCTCCAAAGTGCTCCCCCAGCGGCAGCCACTCCACAGCATACGTTTGCACACCCCATTGCAGGAAAGAGGCCATGCGGGTTCACAGGAGCTTTCACAAGTAAGTGTTTCCTCACTGTTGTTTTGCATTAATATTTATACTTTAATCGATATTTTGCAGATGATCTAACAGTCTGTGAACTCTTCCTCAGAGACGGGTGGAATGGTCCTGCTTTGCAAAGTCTGTGGTGACATTGCATCTGGTTTCCACTATGGAGTTCATGCATGTGAAGGATGCAAGGTAAGACGCTGATAAGAAAAATCACATTGATTGATTCAACAATGTGTTCCTTTTCAGTGCACCAGTTTCATGTGATTTTATTTTTGTTTCAGGGTTTCTTCCGCCGCAGCATCCAGCAGAACATCAACTACAAGATGTGTGTGAAGAATGAGAGCTGTCTGATCATGCGCATGAACCGCAACCGGTGCCAGCACTGCCGCTTCAAGAAATGCCTCTCTGTTGGCATGTCAAGAGATGGTGAGACATCCTGACACATTTTTCATGAGAGAGGCCCTTGTGCAGTTGTGCCAAAATGCCACAGTGCCCTGATTAGCCAAAGCATAGGGGAATTAGGTGGCCTGAAAGAGGCAGAGTGCTGATATCTAGGCCTGTGTGAAAAATGTAATGCGGAAAGTCTTTTGAGGTTATCGTGCCAGTAGCTCAGCCACTAACTTAATCAGCAGACCTGCACCTGTCTTGCCTTTCTTTGTCACCGCACTGCCAAACACTACCATCTGGCCTTGTATCACTCTCTTAAGTTTCTGTGTGTCTTTCTCGTGCCTTTGCAGCATCCTCCCACAATTTTCTTACCTCTATGCTCTTGTTCAGTACAGTACCTCCCCCTCCACGTACCCACCATATTCCCTCAGCTCTCTTGCATCTCCCCTTCAGACAATGATTTATGAGAATAGGAGCCTTGGCGTCCCCAAAGCTATCTATCATCCGGAAAACTGCAGCAAACACAGGAATTATTTTAGGAAATTGGAACAGGGTCAACTTGATTACCTTGTGTGTGCCCATAGAACGTCTTACAGCAATTAATGAGGGACAACATTTTAGCAAGGGATGCAGAAAACAGCCAATGTCTGATCAGGCATGATGCTCACATCAAGTAGTTTTAGATCTGATTGCTGAACTTTGATTGATGACGTATCATTACAGATTAAGAATACAGCTGGGCTGACCTAGAAAAACAATACAGAATTAGGCCTATAGTGTACTCGCACACACTGACCTACTTGGTATAGTTTGCCTTCCTTCTTCCTCTCAGTATGGTTTCTGCTTATCTCCACCCTCCAGCACCCGTCATTGCTTTATCAAGTAAACAGGTGGCTGTTATTTCTGCATGTGCTTGACACTTCTGGTGCACAGAGAATATAGGGTGTCATAATACGACTCAATAAGAAAACAGTTAGGTTGACCCTTATAGAGGCAAACTTGAAAATGCTAAATAACCACAACCTAGAAACCCATTTTTGCTCTGCTTCAATCATTACGAAAACAGGAAAACCGCATGCAACTGCCTGCAGCCCACAATAAATACTACACCCTGATTTCACACCACGCAGCTGTGTGACTTTAGCTCTGCAGCACAGACAAATGGTTCAGTCCGTTGGCATAATGGCACATTATTCTTCCTCTAACCAAAGCATTATTTTATAAGTGAATCACCTCATTCAACACTGCAGTTTTATGTTTTATGTAAATGTCATATGTTTAACATAATGGGAGTAACAGTACATTGCTTTGTATTACAAATTATTTATGCAGAAGAATCTTTTGCTACACTTCCAAAAAAATACATTGAAATCGTTCTGCAATCTTTAATCCACCAGCACAGAAACACTAACACACAGTGCTACCCATCAGTCTCTCACATCAGTCCTCTTCATGTTCTTAAAACATGTCTCTGCAACTTGTTTATGCTCTTCAAGCCCACCTCTCTCATCCTTCTCCCTATCACGATCTCAGTGCCGGTGACATCATGCTCACGTTGCCCCACTGCCCTACTTACAAAGGGAGGGAGGGAGCTTGAGAGGAAGGACACGGGTGGATAGAGGAGAGGATGAGGCAGATGGTAGCAGGGGATCTATAAATAGCCTCTCCAGCTGATGGTTACTGTGGGAAGGGGGTGAAGAGAGGAAAGTTTTATCTCGTAACTTGGGATGTGACTCTTTAGAATCTTCCACATGTTAGGGTGATTCTGTGGTCTGTGTATAGAGGTTTCATGGGTAACTGGTTCACCAAGCTTTAATCTATAGCCAGCCTCTTGATCTTTAAGAATGTGTCTAAGGTTTTGTTTGAGAACTTGTCAAAATGTCATGTTGTTACAATAGCTGAAAACTGATCTTTTCTCACTGATTGTGTTTCACCAGCTGTGCGTTTTGGCCGCATCCCCAAAAGAGAGAAGCAGCGGCTCCTGGATGAGATGCAGAGCTACATGAATAGCCTGAATGAGTCAGCTGCCATGGAGATGGAATCCCCTTCAGTGAGGGAAACTGCCAGCTGCACAGAAGATGGCAACTCAAAAGAGGCCATCGGGGAAATCTCCAGAGCCTATCGCGACATCTTCACCAGCAGCAACAGTGAAGAGAGACCAACCAAGAGCTCTAACATCTCCTCCAACACATGTCCCTTTTCTCAGGATGCCAGCTTTCCCCAAGTGTCCTCTCACCCCGCCTCCATCCAGAGTTATCAGTCTTACCCTGTTGTCCCTAATGACAACACATCCACATTCCACAATGTTGACAACAATCGTTCCTCCTACTTGGTTTCAACAAATCAGAATCAAGATCAGTCCAACAGTACAACCTCTCAAAGGGGCAGCTCTGCCAATCATAACAGTTTTCACAATGCAGGAAGCTCCCAAAACCAGCCCTCCTGCCCATGGAAATTAGCTTCAGGAGCTAAAGTGCTGGTAAGTGCAGAAAGCATATGATCAGATCATAACTCTTGTAATGTGTCTTATTTGATCAGCAACTTATTAATTGTTCTATTTATTTTGTCTTTTCTAAAAGGCATGTCCCCTTAATGCGTGGCCTGTATCAGGGGCAGAGTGCACGAGTCAGCAGATATGGGAATCCTTCTCGCAGTGTTTTACTCCTGCTGTCAAGGAGGTGGTAGAGTTCGCCAAGGGCATCCCAGGGTTTCAAGAGCTTGGCCAACAAGACCAAGTCATGCTGCTCAAATCAGGAACTTTCCAGGTAAGGACATACATTTTTGATGATTAAGATGAAATATGTAAGGCATGTGGCTCCTTCTTTGCGAGTCCAAATGTTTGCTTAGTGTACGTTTTTGACTCAAACTCATCTTTTTGTTTCTTGTGTGTTTAGGTTTTGATGGTGAGGTTCTGCACCTTGTTCAATGCTGAGGAGCGTACAGTGACTTTCCTGAACGGCCAAACTTACCCACTGTCCACCCTGCGGGCCTTAGGCATGGGCACTCTGCTGGACGCAATGTTTGACTTCAGTGAGAAGTTGGGCTCCCTGGGGCTAGAGCCTGATGAAATGGCCCTCTTTATGGCTGTGGTCCTGGTGTCTGCAGGTGAGAGAGGCACACTATTTACATCATGAAAACAGTGACAAAGGAGTAAAATGTTATTAATGAACCAATAGTGTAGTAATTGTTTCTGTCAAACACTAACACTGACGCTCCTCTGTGCTCCTTAGATCGTTCTGGCATCTTGGACATGCAGGCTGTGGAGCAGCTTCAGGAGGGACTGATCCGTGCCCTACGGTCACTGATCACTCGCCGTCGCCCAGATGAGAACACCCTCTTCCCTAAACTCCTCCTGCGCTTGCCAGACCTGCGCACCCTCAACAATATGCACTCCGACAAACTGCTGGCCTTTCACATTGACCCTTAAGCAGGCTGCTTGTTCACGGAGAACACAGACACAAACTGTTTTAGAGAAAAACATACAGAACACACACAATTACAGATATTATCTTCCATGGACAGGACCTTCTAGAAAATTGAAGAAAAAGGATTTGTAAAACCTGAGGAGTGGTTTTCAAAGAATAATTGAAGGCAGTAACAAACCTTTTGATTCACTATTGATTATACTTACTCATGTATACACATAAACCTCAACACCTCTTGAAAGACATTGTCTCAGTAGAGAAATGTATGACCACGTAGATTTAGTATTGGTGTTTTGGAGAAATTATGTGGGCACTTGCTCAATATGTCCAGTGTCTAAGAATAAAGTTAACTTCTGTTTATTCCTTATGCTGTGCAGCTTCCATCACTAAGCAGTAGCTAAAAGACAGCACTCACTTAGGGAACATTAGGGCTGACGGACTTTGTATGTCTGTGGTTAAGGTAAAGGGAACCTGTACATAATACATAGTGAAAAGCGAAATATTAAAAGGTAAATATGTATCAATGTTTCACAAACATACCACCTGCATTACTCAAATGAGACTACTATTTTGGCACTTGTACACGACAGGATACATTCAGTCTCTTCCTTTTTTGACAAATCTTCCAGGCGCACCTTAAGTCTAAGTTTGACTCATTCATAAGTGAATGGCATGTTTTATTATTTCAAAAAAACATTGTATCCATGTCACTATATTGTATGACTGCTGGACTGGTCGAGACATGTCATGCATGTTTGGTTTTGTAGTTCCTTTGTTTATTTTTGATGCTGTAAATATTATATGACCCTAATGTCAAGGTATCAATGACTGATTTGATGTGATGGACCGGACAGATGAGTTTGGTGTAAAGAAGAATGTACTGACCTTCCCACAATAGGTTTGGGTTTGGCCATGCCAAGGGGGCTTTGCACAGGAGAATATGAGGTAGGGATTTTGACATGGCTTAGACGCACTGATGATGTAACCAACCAGCATAATCCCTGAAGTCACCAGCATTCACTCCAACGTTCACCCTTCCTCTGCCCCCAATGTTTGTCATACAAACACAAGAGATATTTTTTTGAGCAATCTTATTTGATTGGTCTTCTCACTGTTTGTTTGTTTGACTTTGGCTGATTGTACATTTTGTAAATAAGTATTCCTATATAGAAATTATATAAAGATCAAATAATCTATTAAATCTGTTTTTGTGTCATTATTTGTATCCATTCAGGCAAAATGTAGTAAAGATGAAGTTAGAACCAGTTGTGGAAAGTACACTTATTCAACTATTTTACTATTTTAAGATCAATGTGCTGCTTTGATGCTGCTTTATTCTTTAGGACGAAAATGTTAAACTATTTACCGTAATACATTTATTTGATAGGCATAGTTACTATTTACTTTGCCTATGATACTATTAGGCCTACATTACAAACGTACAAATTGTTAAGAGTAAGGATCAAAAGACTGGTTGCCAATCTCATTAACTTTAACGCTAACTTAAAACAAATACATCCAGCATTAGAGAAAGGTCCAAATAATAAATAGCCTACAAATGTGCAGTGTTTTGCTCTTTCTTCCTTCTTCTCCAGTTATTCATTTTACGGCCTCTCGTATTTATCTTGCAACCCTTTGGAGGAGTCTGACCTAAACTATATGTATTGTTAATATACTTTATTGTTAATACACCTTAATCAGCTTCGACAAAAACAATTTTGCTTTCACACTGACACATCTGTAGTGACATTTAATACTGACATGTAATAGTACCAGTAACAGGGAACATTTTACTGCAGAAAAAGTTATTTCACTTATGATATTTACTTAATCAGGATTTTGTATGCAGAACTTTAATTTTAATAGATCCAGCACTTTTTAAGACTGTATGGATGGATATAAGAAATGAGTAGCCTCGTGCAACTAAAAGTGTGCTTTGGCATAAATGAAGTTAGACGTACCTTGTCATTATATTACATAATACCCTTTGTGTTGTTTGGGTGTGCATTGTAGGGTTACATAAACGGGTGTTTGCCTTGCTAGAAATCTAGGTCAGACATTGGCTAGATCATTAGCATTAGCCTTTAGCATGCTGTAAGCCTACAGATGTAGTCTGTGTGCCTATTTCACAACATGTTCAGTTTTTTTTACAAATAACACTTACTTCACATAACGAACTACCTTTAGAGTTGATAGTTCTGAGAAAGTTGCAAAACAGGAGGTCTGGAAACATGAGAACACGTGCCCCTACCTGCTGGAAAACAAAAGGTAAAGTAATGATGCCATGCCACCTTGTGGTGAAATAAAATAGCCCGGATCCCGGAAGTGAATAGCCTGTTTGCTACTCTTACCATTCACCATTCATCACTTAGTAATGGTTAATGTACGCTGTTTACTAATATGGGACCGACGTCAAACGGCACGGTAGGATATACCATAAAGTATATAACAATATATCAAAAACATATGGTAGGTTAGTTCCGCAAGTTGTAATTGTATCTCAACGTCTGCAGCAGGTTAGCATGTAGGCTAGCGTTACCATAATAATAAAAGCATTTCGACAGGATACATTCAACGTGTTAAAGTAAACAAAACGACATTTCGTCACATGTCTGACTTTCCGTCATTGATGCAGGTAACGAAATACACCCCTACTATGTCTAGCTAATATCGTATTTGTTGTGTTGTTAACAAAATGTTCTAAAGCAAAAGCTTATTAGCAAAGTCAGCAGCGAATTAACACGACTGTTTACTGATTCAGTGGCAACGTAAACGCTCTCATTTCTGTCTTTAATCTCTGTTCTCCTGTCTCTCCACAGTTGCTGAGAAATAGAAAGAAGAGAGTTGAAAACACCCCAATACGTCAGGTTTGAGCCCAAGTGGGTGCAGTTTTTCACACCATGTTGGTGACAGCATATCTTGCCATCATTTTCCTGCTTGCCCTGTGTGTTGTCCTGGAGCTCACAGCACGCCGCCTCACCCCACCTCAGTCTGCTCCTACTGCTGTAGCCAACCCGGCGTTCCGTCGCTTCCAGAGTATATTCCTGCGGGCATACCTTTTGGCTTTGTGGGCAGACTGGCTCCAGGGTCCTTACCTCTACAAACTGTACCGCCACTACAGCTTCCTGGAATCCCAAATAGCGATCTTATATGTGTGTGGACTTGCCTCCTGTGTTCTGTTTGCCCCTTTTTCAGGCTGGCTCCCTCAAGTCTTGGGCCGCAGACAGACATGTCTTCTCTTCTGCGTATCATACTCTGCTTGTTGTCTCACCAAGCTGTCCAGAGACTACTTTGTTTTGATTGTGGGCCGGATCCTGGGGGGTCTGTCCACATCCCTGCTCACTACCACATTTGAATCCTGGTACGTGCACCGTCATGTAGAAGTACACGATTTTCCCAAGGAGTGGATCCCCAGTACCTTCACCAAAGCTGCTACATGGAATCATGGTCTCGCCGTGGGAGCAGGGCTGGTGGCTAACTTGCTGGCTGAGTGGCTCCACTTGGGGCCGGTGGCTCCCTTTCTCCTGGCTGTCCCCTGCTTGGCGTGCTGTGGCTGGGTGGTGCTAACAGACTGGGGCAAGGAAGAGGCTGAAGAAGGTCTTGAAGGGGAAAAACAGAAACTGCCTCTTGGCACTCCAAATGCAGGGCTAGCCCGTTTGTCTGCAAGGGCCCGATTCTCACGCAGCTGCCATGATGGGTTGCGCTGCCTGCTCTCAGACAGGAGAGTCATGCTCTTAGGTGGAGTGCAGGCTCTGTTTGAAAGTGTCCTCTACATTTTTGTTTTTCTGTGGACCCCAGTTCTGGACCCCCATGGGCCCCCTTTGGGAATCGTTTTTTCTTGCCTGATGGCTGCAAGTATGGCTGGCTCCTTGCTCTACCGCCTGGCCACCTCCACCCGTTACCGCCTGCAGCCGGGCCACGTTCTCTGCCTGGCTGTGTTGATGGCCTTCTTCTCTCTCTTTATGTTGACCTTTTCCACCACCCCTGGTCAACCTAGGCCACGTGAATCCTTTCTGGCCTTCCTGCTGCTGGAGCTGGCCAGTGGGCTCTACTTCCCTGCAGTCAGCTTTCTCCACGGCAGGGTGATCCCAGAGGAAAAGAGGCAGAGTGTGCTGGCCTGGTTCCGGCTCCCTCTCCACCTGCTGGCCTGCTTCGGACTGCTGGCTCTTCATGGGGAGACGGCAGGAACAGGTGGAGGGGAGGAGGGGAGCGGCACCAGACACATGTTTGGAGGATGTGCTGTTATGATGCTGGCTGCTTTCATGGCTGTCGTCAGTCTGTTCACTCTGGGTAGAAATGACACAGATCTGAGACTGGAGGGAACCAGAGGGGAGGGGGAGATGGAAAACATATTAAATTATGATTGACTGCTTTTATATAAAATGTGCCAGTTTTATGTGACTAAAAGTAGAGAACTTGTGTGTTTCACTTAAAAAGTCATAAAAAAATATTTTGCCAAATTGCAGCGGAGGAAATCAATGTCTAAAGGGGATATTTTGCTAAATTGAAATACATTTTCATTTTTAGATGTTGCCTTATTACTGTTTTTGTTATTTTTTGGGAGATCATTTTACATATCCTGTCTGTGTATGTATGCTTTGCGAACATGGCCGTATCAATTTTAATTTGTCAAGTAAACTGTTGGAATATCTTAAAACTTCTATCATTCCTTAACCAGATATCATGTCATTGCATCATTGTCACCATCTATAGGGAACAGACATGAAATACTTTACAGAGAGCTCAATAGAAATCCAAAGGAATGTCATGACTAGCATGTTAGTTCTTCCAATATTTCTGTCTGTGGTTTTTTCCAACATCTTTTTATTTTTATTGAAAAGGAATCTCAAGTTGATCCAAGTTTGAATATTTCTTCTGCACCATCAGAATATCTTCTCTCTGCATTACCTTTACAGTTCTCTGCTCTTTACACTCTGAAATAAAGGTATGCATATTGTACATAATGAAAATGTATTAGTTGATTCAACTGGAAATATTATCTACTATTTCGTAAAATGTTAAGAATTCATAATATTTATTCAGTATAAAATGAATCCAAAATTGGAAGTACCAAATGTCTACTTGTATATTTATGTTTTAGTAAATGCTGCACTAGTTACTTGAAACTTGTTTTTGCTTCAATTCATTAAACAAATGCTCTTTAGCATAAAAGTCTAATTTGGCACCAATCATTTGAACAAATATAAAACATTTATTATAGTGGAAAAAAAAATGAAAGTGAGCTGTAAATTGTTGATCTATACTTAAAAAGAAGCCACTTGTTTTGTTATTCAAATGCAACAGTCCTTTTTACATTTACTGAAAAACATTTAAACCTATTTCACTTTCTCCTAGTTGATTCTGCAGGCCATTCTTCCAGAAATATCTGGATTTCACTCATTACGCACCATGCAGGCATCCATCCTCCCCTTTTTCCCTTCTGCATTGGTACAGTCCCAGCTTTTCTCTATGATGCAGCTTCACCTGGATGCAGCTAGAACATCCATCAGTGGGTGAGGGAGGGGTAACTGCACAAGCCTTAACTGTGTTGTTTTGGTGGATTACATCACAAAATCGTCACATGGTGTCCAATCTGAGCAGGCAAGAGGAGCATTATTAATCCACGGTCCTCTCTCACAGCTGTCAGTACTCTGGCCAGACACTGCAAAAAAAACCTTAAAGAAAGGAGACACCAGAGCCCCATTGACTGGTTGGACTACCGAACAAGACAACAGGAAAAACAGACAGGCATCATGACACAGGGCAAGGTATGACTATGCTTTAATGACTTTCAGTTGCTATTTCTGTCTTATTCTGCAATTTGATTTTCTGAGTATTCCATAACATTCACTTGATATGCTTGTCTCTATTTCCATCCCTTAGGTATCACTAATGCTAAATTATTTTTGGTAATACCACCTATTTAGTTGTGAAGATCACCATAATTAGTCATTTGAATCAACTAGAACTTGAGGCTGTGGATTTTTAATAAGCAAGTAGAATTCTAGCTGATTAATTTAGTGACCTTGTGTTTTTTTAAATAATTTCTGCAAATATATTTGTTTATGGTGTGCAATGCCTAACAGTTAAGTATTATGTGTATGTTATAATGTATGAATGAAGTGCGTCACATGTTGTTTTGCCATGTTGCGTCACCATCACACATTTGTTTCTGTAGCTCTGGAAGCCAATACGTGTTCCCAGTGTGTGTCTCACTTTTCTTCCAGCTGGTGAGAATAGTATAAGAGGGTTTTTGAAAAAATCTGCGGAACATAGATAGCTGATTTTAAACGACCTTCTGGCTTTTATAAGCATAGCCGGTAGATTATCTTCCAACGCAGCTGAAGTCCGATGCTGGGATAATAAATAATGTAGCCTATTAGCGTCAATGACGTGCAGTGAGGGCTACACAAGCTAGTCTGACGTAGTAACGTGCAATTCCAACTGCGCACATTTCCACTACGGAATCCTATAGTTAAATCCTATTGGCAATGATCATGAACATGCTTATAATTGTTAACATAGTTACACATCAGGGTTCGAGTTATAAACTGAGCTCTATGGGGGTCTTTAAAAAAAAACGCACGCCCGTAGGAACGCACACACTCAAACATTATACACTCAGCCATTTCTTTTTTTGCCATTTTGCTGGATTTATTTGTCAATATTTACAGCGTTGCTGCCCATAGTGATAGCCCTATAGTTGAAATATACTACCCCAAAATAAACATATGGACATGGGTTACTATTTAAAAAAAAATGTGCAAATGTATTTAGGAACCTATCCATGTGAACATATTTTAAGTGGGGGTGGACCTCAAATCCTCTAGGGGGGTCCGGGGGCATGCTCCCCGGTAAGATATATATTTTTTTTAAATGTTGGACTTTAATGCATCAATCTGGTGCACTTTGAGGGGGAAATAAAGAGACTACACCCATATGAAACAGAACTGTATACATTTAAATAGTCATAAAATCATAAGAACATGGCCATAACCAATAACATACCATATCCAATATTAAAAAACATTGAAACTTGTTTATTTTCGGTTCATTTAAAGTTGCGAGTGTGTCTGGGCTCCTGAACCAGCTGAAAGAAGGGTAGCAAGTTGTAGTCGTTTTTGAAGAAGACAATGTGTCAGTGCTCCCGTCTGAAACCATGTAAAATATCAATTGCCATGTTGATGGGTGAAAGCAGGTGACATGTGAGTAAAAGTGTAGGCCTGATGATTCACCTTTAATTGCAGCTTATTTATTTGTGATCCCTTGCATCACAGATGTTCATTTTATTTGATATTTTGTAGGGATTTATTTCCGATTCAAATCTAGTCTTACTCTCAACTAAAATGTGAAACACACTAAATGGAACGTATAACAAATTGTTCTTTTTTTGTCTTATTATATCAGCTGTTACTTGCAAATAAGAGCGCCAATGGCAGTGGAGAAGTCTTAGTGGCGCCAATTCCTCCCAGCTATGAGGAAGCCACTGCAGGTATACCAACAACTTGTCCTACTACATTTACTCTTACTATTAGTGTCGTTTTCTTTTCTAAAGTACATATGGTAATGTTTATCATGTTAATTCATTGTTTTTCTCCAGGCACCAGTGCGCCTTGCTACAATGATTGTGAGATGCTTACAGAGTTCACCTGGGATGACCGTAACATCCGGAGGATCTTCATACGTAAGGTATCGAAATCTTTAGCATTAAATTGATCTCAATATTAGAATGCTGTGTATCACTGATAATTTACTTTATATTTATGTTACCCTTAAAATACCCAACCTGCACATATCTGTACATTTACCGTTATGCAAATGTTTTTATTTATAAAGGTGTACACTATCTTGATGATCCAGCTTTTGGTCACTCTCTCTATTGTGGCTCTTTTCACATTCTGGTGAGCTTATAATAAAAATGTTGAACAACATTAAACATGTTTTTCTTGGTAGAAATCTTACCTAAGACTGTGTTCTTTTTAGTGACCCCGTGAAGGACTACATTCAAACCAACCCTGGCTGGTATTGGGCATCTTAGTAAGTAACAGGTTTATTTAGTAATACTGTCAGGGTTTGAGTTTTGTTGTGGGGTTATTTTGCTTTTCTGTTCTCCCTGTCATGTTTTCCTCCTTGTTTCTTGTCTGGTCCTTCTCCCTGTGTTTTCCTCCCTGTCGTTAGTTTCCCTGGTGTGTCTAATTATCTGATTGTGTTCACCTGTTGCCCTTGTGTTTCTCCTTCCCTGCCCGGCTGTTTCTCGTCTCGTGGTTATTTAGTCTTGTCTCTTCCTGTGTTCGGTGTCGGTTCATTGTTTGTTTTTCCCGTCACTCTCCATGTCAGTCATCGTCAGCTTTTTGTATTATATTTTCCTTGTGCTTCCTTTGTGTTTTTGCCATCAGCTTTTACAATAAAGCTCGTTTTTGTTTTCTAGACCAACTTACCTTTTTTTTGTAGTCTGCTTTTGGGTCCTACCTTTCCCAAACCGTAACAAATACACCATCACTCTGTCGGTTTGGTTCATGTCATTTCTATCTAGCAAAATATCTAACTATGTTTTTGTTCTTTAACAGTGCTGTGTTCTTTGTCACATATCTGACCCTGTCCTGCTGCTCTGCACCAAGGTAATGTAAAGGTTCTGAAGACCAGAAATTGACATCCTTGATTGATTCTCAAATAAGTAAAAATAATAACACAAATCACTTTAACTTACTCTTACAGGAGACAGTTTCCATGGAATCTGATTCTGCTTGGCATATTTGTAAGTACAAGGCAAATATGTATATTTACATAAATGTTGTTTTCTATATTATAAATGTTATTCCAAAAGGAATGTATGAATATATTATGTAACAAATGCCAGATTTTTCACATGACTATCATGTCTTTTTCAGACCCTCTCCCTATCATACATGACAGGGATGTTGTCCAGGTACACTTCTATATTTTATGCACCATTTTATGTAAATGTCTTGTTCAACCTTGCATTATGTTTTGCTGCTTCAGTCTCTCTTCTTAGTTAGCATGATGGCTTTGCTTTCAGATAATTTTAGCAGCAATGTACTTTTCTACGCTATTTGAGGTTATGTGTTTGGTTTTACATTTCTTGAAACCTTTTCTGTAAGTTTTGTTTGCATGTTTCTTTTTTTAATAGTTTCTATAACACCAAGTCAGTGGTATTGTGTCTGGGCATCACAGCAGCAGTCTGTCTCCTGGTCACAGTCTTCAGCTTTCAATCTAAGGTGAGAAAAAAAAAAACATTTTCCTTAACTGTATATCATATATTATGTGATACTGTATGCATGATTAACAGTCAAAATCATGTCAAGTCGGCTTTTCACATTGTGAGAATAACACAGGGTTGATTTCATGTGTTTCCTCCATCCAGATTGATCTGACATCATACCAAGGGGTGCTCTTTGTCTTCTGCATGGTAATGTTTGTCTCCGGGATAGTGCTGGCAATGGTCCTTCCCTATCATTATGTAAGTACGAGAATCCAAATAGAGCCACTACACCAGTTATTTATCAGGCAAGACTAAAATGTGCATTTTGAGTCGACCAAGATAAAGTTTGATCAAATGTTAATTTAAAGTCTGAGATTCACATAAGACTAGGTCAGACTTTACTAAAAACGGATATCACTGTACCATCATATGCTTTCAAATATGAAGGAGTGTCTTTTGTGTGTGGTGACCTAAACACTGACATTGCATGTTTTTCCCATTTAGGTACCCTGGTTGGATGCAACCTACGCTGTCTTGGGAGCAATACTGTTCACCATGGTAAGAGTACTGATGCCATTGGGCTATATCTAATACCAACTATAAATAACCAGATCCATGAGAATCAAAATAACCAAAAAGATGTCTTGCTTGCTGTTTTTTTTTTCTTTCTGTTTCAGTTTTTAGCATTTGATACCCAGCTCATCATGGGTAACAAGCGCTACAGCATTAGTCCAGAAGAGTACGTCTTTGCCACTCTCAACATCTACCTGGATATCATCTATATCTTCTCCTTCTTCCTCCAAATCTTTGGAACAAAAAATGATTAAACCATCGACCCACCTTATACAAGAGATGGGATTTTAGGCGGACAAGATCAAAGTATTTTGAAGGTTTGTGATTTGTGGTGACAATGCTTCCAATTGTAACAACTTCATTTTTTTCCTGATCCTGATTAAGCCACCCATAATTTGTTAATCTTATGTACAGCTATACACTTACATAGATATGTGTCAGTGTTCAAATCCAAAATGTCTACAACCTTTCCCTCTTCTCTAGCATGTTGTAAACCTACACCACATCATAGGGTTAGCTTACTAGCTTTACCAGCAGGAAACAATCATTGATCTTCCTCCATTTTAAATAAATAAAAAATACTGTGAGTGTTCATATAAAGCTGTATTGGTGTCTTTATATCCATTCCTGCCTATAAATCAAATGTGTATTGCACACAATAGATGTCAGTGCGCTTCAATAGGTATGTGATCTACAATTCAATATGCATGGCTCTTAAAAAGCCTTAACTTTGCCAAGATAGTCATCCTACCATTTGGCTATTGGGAGAGTGAATTTTGTGACTGAAGGCACTTTCAAAAAATACTATTTTTGTGTTTCCAAGCAGATCCGATGTTGTCTGAATACTGTGAATTACAAGAGAAACTTTCACTCTTGACAATCTGAAAATGTTATTTATTTGATTTGGGATGTTGCTTCACTTCTGCCTT